GATAGAGAACCCTGTCCAGGACTCCGGGCCGTTGTCCATCTGTGCTCCAGTTGACTCTTTGTGCATACATCGTCACCGGTTTTTAGTGTCAGGCACAGAGTTGCGGAATAATCGCCATATCTAAGCATTCCTCAGGTTTCTTCTTCCAGTGTCTGCCTATGAATTCAATAGTATATAAAACAGCCCATGGAAGGCAGTACAAGTAAAAGCAGGTCGAACTGTTTCTATCCCCTCGAAGTGACAGCCCACATCCTTTTCAAATGAAAGCTAACACTACCGCAGAGAGGATGTGTGACCCTTCCCTGCAGAGTGAAGTCAGGCCTTGCTGAGAACTCAGGAGTGTGGGCCCCCACGGTGCCTGCCAGGGGCCTGGGGCCTTGTCAGAAGGTTTAGGATGAGTTGGCCACAGAACCTGATGTCTCACCCAGAAGTGTTGTGCCCTTGTAATGTGAGCCGTTGTTAACCTTTGGAGTGAGTCTGGTCCCTGCTGTGAGGTGCTCGGGAGCCCTCATTAGAGCAGCTCGCTCTCACTGACTGGCTGCAGGGGGCCACCGGGTGAGAGTTTCCTCTGCCCTTACATCAACAACTTGTTACTCTTCAGGGTTTCACATATGAAACGTAAAAGGCTATCATACAAATGAAGTTACCTGCATACAGGTAAATAAACCACCGTGGGGTCTGAGACACCTAGGCACCAAGCTCCCAGATAACGGAATGATCTGGCCCCTGACTCTTTGTAACTACTCCTGTAGTCTCTTGAAGTATCTATCGTAGGATGTTGATAAATGGTATTTTAAAAATAAAATCTTTGGATCAAAGGAATAACTTAACCCCTTCTATATTTTTGTTACTAATAAATAATGCTTTTGTAAATCGGAATGGGAAACGACTTGTATGTATTCCTGTTGAGTGGTACTTATGCCTTTGGGATTAATTTAAAAACGTGCTACTTGATTACAGTTTTAACAAAGATGAATTCCAATAACCAACACAATAAAACATTTCAAAGCTAGAATGTTGTGTGGTATGTGTGGTGTGAACCACCAGGATGGAGAGGAATGCTCAAAGGACCTAGATGTGGTAATGCAAGGCCATCCTTGGCTACATGGTCCATTTATAATAAATGAATGAATGAAAAATAAATAGGCAGATGCGACTGACAATGTCTCTTTAAATACCAAAATAATGTAGAAGTATTTCACACTTAGCTACTTCGTTCACTAATATGCGCATAGTCTGGGTGCCCATTATTTAATGTAACTTAATAGCAGTGTGCTTTAAATGGGTTTTCTCTAGAAGCTAACTCTGTAATTACTAGTAGGGTTTTTGTTTGGTTGGTTGGTTTGTTTTTTGGTTTTGTTTTGTTTTGTTTTGGTTTTTTGGTGGTGGTGGTGTTGGGGGCAGGGGGAAGTTTGAGACAGGGTTTCTCTGTGTAGCCTTGGCTCTATAAACCTGGCTGGCCTCAAACTCACAGAGATCTGTCTTCCTCTACCTCCCGAGTGATGGGATTAAAAGGCGTGCACCACCACCACCTGGCTACTATTAGTCTTTTTTTTTTCCCCCGAAATAGGGTTTCTTTGTAGTTTTGGTGCCTGTCCTGGATCTCACTCTGTAGACCAGGCTTGAACTCACAGAGATCCGCCTGCCTCTGCCTCCGTAGTGCTGGGATTAAAGATGTGCACCACCAACGCCCGGCGACTATTAGTCTTTTAAAGAAAGTTATTTTCATGTTTTGAGGCCTTGGACCCCAAACAACTTTATCCCGTCTTTGGGTGTAAAGTAACTATATAGTTTAGTTCATTCTGTTGGACAACCCACTCAGGCACTCCCTCCTCTACACTCCCTCACTCAGATCGTCGTTACCTTGACTTTTATAGGCAGGAGGGCAGACTCTGATCCATGAATGATGCCACCGCCCCGCTGCGCCCTCTGCCGGTCAAAAGGTGGAGCTGCCTGCTGACCGTTCTGTAGAACGGCCCTCCCCTGTCCATTCCGTATCATTTCCTTGTGCGAGTAAACATACACAAGCAGAGAACAGCTAAGCTTAAACTCATCCACGCCCTGTTGCCGCCTCCTCCACATCTGCAGCCGTTTTTGACTTATTTTGTGTCCTTACATACTGTGCTGTTCAGCTTTCAAAACAGCATCATCATAGAGATGGACTTCAGATATATTACATTTGTCAGGATCAGTCATTTTAAAAGGACAAACATTTGGTCTTCAAATCTTTGTGTGCTTTTTAGTTCATCAAGTACGCTGTTGCTTCCAGTGACCGGTAAATTCTTTCCTATTTTCCAATTTTAAAATGGAACTTGGGCTGGAGAGATGGTTCACTGGTTAAGCACACTGGCTGCTCTTGCAGAGGACCTAGGTTCAATTCCCAGCACTCACGGAGCAGCCCACAGCTGTCTGTAAAGCCTGTTCTAGGGGACCCAGTGCTCTCCAAAGACACAGGCCTACATTCAGGCAAAACACCTAGACACAAAATAACGGTAATTGAAAAAGTTTATGGAACTCTACAAGAATGGGAACACTTCTGTCTCTCTCTTTTTAAAAGACAGAACTCTGTGTAGCCTTGGCTGGCCTTGATTGAACTCAGAAGTCTGCCTGTCTCTGCATCCCACAGCTGAGAAGGAAGGCCTGGACCACCATCCCCACGAGTTGATCACTCGTTGAGGGTGAGCCTAAGCATGAGGTGTGGACAGAACTCCAGCCTATACTTCTGTCCCTGTACACAACACTTTGGGGGGGGGGTGTTTATATTTTATTATCTACTCTAGGGTAGACCCTGGATCTGCCTCATCCTCCCCCACACACACACACACCATGGAGTAGCCGTGCCTCGGAGCCTCTGCCTTTGCTGCCGGAGCCTGCTGGGACTCCTGCTGCAGCTGAGCAAGGGTCTCCTCTGTTGCTCTGCCACTCGAGGATCCCGAGGCTGAGGTCTATAGCACTTCGTTTCCACTGTGCTACAGTCTAGCCTTTTCTCCCACTGTGGCCTCAGCCTCCCCCAGCTCCTGTGTGACAAGCACCGGACGCAGAAGCTTACAGACCACGCTGGATCCACGCGGCAAGGCCAGCTCCCTCTTCACGATACGATCTTCTGTTAGCTGTGCCTCCAGCCTCAGCCTCCCTGACCTGGGTTTGCTCAAGTCCCTCCCACAGCTGTTGATGTTTCTCCACGTCTCCCTGCAGCTTCTTTTGGATCAGCTCTGCCATGACACCCGTAAAGGCCTCCTGGGGGTGGGTCGCTGGGTTTCAAGCTCCCCATCTTGTCCCCGCAGGAAGGACAGCATTTCTATTGGCAGCCCTTTGAGGCCCCACAGCCTCTCCTCAACCAGACTAGCCCCTCCCTAGGAAGACCCCAGATCCCCAACCCAAGCCCTCTCACTTAAAAATCTTCAAAAACTAGTATTTTTAAATCACTGGCGCATTCAGCTGGGGAGCCAAGCTTCACATTCATCATGGAAAGTATTCCCCTTTCCATACTTTCAAAGATTCAGGGACACTTTTCAAGGAAGGGTCCATAAGTTAAATCACTCATATGTCAGCTTTGTACTTAGTGGTTTTTAACTGGGCGGCACTTTGGCTCTGCCCTTAGTGGGATGGATCTGAGTAGGTTGCTATAAGCACCTCTGCAGGTCATGCGGGCTCCACACTACAGAGCCCGCCCTTGAAGGGAAAGGCGGACAGCAGCTTCAGAGAGCAGAGGGGCTGTCCTAAAGTGGGTGTCACATGCCGTTGAGACAGAGGAAAGGATGTATTTAGAAGACCCATACCCTGGAGACACTACAGATCAGCAACCCCAAGAGTCATGGAGGTGGGGGACCACAGTCAAGTCTGTGAGAAGCAATCAGTGACCATCCAAAAAATTCCATTGTGAGAAATGGGCACGAGGGCCAAAGAGATGGCTCGGTGGTTAAGAGCACTTGTTGCTCTTGGAGAGGACTGGAGTTCAATTCTCAGCATTTGTTTTCAGGCAACTCACAACATCTAACTCCAGCTCCAGGGCGTGTATCTCACACCCTCCTTTGGCTCTGTGGGTGTGAGTGCATGCACAGATACACACAAATAAAATCTGTCAAGAAGGAGAAGGAGGGCTGGAGAGATGGCTCGGAGGTTAAGAGCACTGGCTGCTCTTTCAGAGGGCCTGAGTTCAATTCCCAGCAACTACATGTTGGCTCCCAACCATCTGTAATGAGGTCTGGCGCCCCCTTCTGGCCTGAAGGCGCATATGCAGGCAGAATACTGTATATGTAATAAATTTTTTTTTTTTTTAAATGAGAAGGAAATAATGCAAAGAATACAAAGGTCAAGGAGATAGCCAGAATTCATGACAGAAATTCTGGACAGATACAGAGTGAGTGAATTGGGGGAGGTGGGCATATCTTCCCAGGGTAAAAAGGAATCAGAGAGGCTGACATTTGAGAAAGAAGCTGGCAAAGGCCAGGCCATGGGTGGCACACACCTTTTACCCCAGCACTTTGGAAGCAGAGGCAGGCAGCTCTCTTGAGTTCGAGGCCAGTCTAGTCTACAGAGCGAGTTCCAGGACAGCCAGGGCTACACAGAGAAACCCTGTCTCGAATAACAAAAAGAAGCTGTCAAAGAGCCAGGTGCCAGGAAACACCACGATGGCGAGCCTGGTGGCGGGCATCAGTCTGCAGACAGACGCTTTGCCGAGGGTGGGGCTCTTCCACAGAGACTGACTTAGCATTGCGGCCCAGCAGGCTCAGCTCAGCCGGGTCTGTGCTGAGAGAGAACGATCCACGTGGACCTTGGTCTTTCGGTGTGAAAGACGTCTGCATCCTAATAAAACTTGAGTTTCAAATGACGCGGAGTAGTTGCGGAGGGGTTGGTGCCTCGCCGGCACGACGCGTGTTCCGTGGCTGCTTTGTGAGTCACAGAAAAGACTGGGCTGGTCAGCCTTCTCAGCAAACAAGGGGCTGACAAGTAAGGGCTCTGTGTCTGAGGGTCAAAACGCAATGCCCAGTGCTAGAGAGTTTGGTGAAATGGATTCTTTTAATTACCGAAGGCAGTACAAATTGATAAAACTTATAAAAATTCAGAAATCTGTTTTTCGGCCATGAAAATGCATATATCTTTTGGCCTGGTGAACTCATTAATGGAATTTTATACAAAGAAGACCAAGAACAGAACAAAGCTCTAAGGACATGAACATGTCGTAGTCATAGCAACAAGGTGAAACCACCCACATGTTCTCGGAGAAGTGACTGGGTCAGTACACTGTGCTCCCATGGCACACGGTGACTCCAGGGCAGCCCATGGTGAAACCCATTAACACTGACACTGGAGAGAGGCCGTAGCAGTCTGGTGGATACAGACCTTCACCATGGTACAATGAAGGCCTTTTCCTCACATTTCATATCACGCTTCCACACACATAAAAATACATGTTATGAGATGCATAAAAACAGATGGCCCAAAAAATTGAGAACATGCAGGGTGAGGTTCTGATGTGTTTCCTTTTATCCTTCTAGGCACACTGTGTGGTGTGAGTACACTGTTTCGGGTGCTGGGTCCTTTGCTCACACTGGTGTGAGTGCACCTGCTCCAGGGGCTGGGTGCATCTGTTCACACTGTGGTGAGTGCACTGTTCTAGAGGCTGGGTGCATCTGTTCACACTGTGGTGTGAGTGCACTGCTCTAGAGGCTGGGTGCATCTGTTCACACTGTGGTGTGAGTACACTGCTCCAGGGACTGGGTGCATCTGTTCACACTGTGGTGTGAGTGCACTGCTCCAGGGACTGGGTGCATCTGTTCACACTGTGGTGTGAGTGCACTGTTCCAGGGGCTGGGTGCCCTGTTCACACTGTGGTGTGAGTGCACTGCTCTAGAGGCTGGGTGCCCTGTTCACACTGTGGTGTGAGTGCACTGCTCTAGAGGCTGGGTGCTCTGTTCACACTGTGGTGTGAGTGCACTGCTCTAGAGGCTGGGTGCCCTGTTCACACTGTGGTGTGAGTGCACTGCTCTAGAGACTGGGTGCTCTGTTCACACTGTGGTGTGAGTGCACTCCTCTAGAGGCTGGGTGCTCTGTTCACACTGTGGTGTGAGTGCACTGCTCTAGAGGCTGGGTGCATCTGTACTGAGGTTAAGGAAAGAGCAGTGTGATGCATTTGCCCCTTATTTATTTTCCCACAGACCATGTGTGCATCTTCAGAAGTTGAATATCCAGGGCTAGAGTCCAGTTCAAGACAGCAATGCTGTCCAAAACTTGTAAGTGGGCGACTGAAATACTGCTAGTTTTAAGTGTTATGTGTGTACCTTACCAACACTGGAATACTTCCTCATCTGAAACAGTTATCAGTATGAGGTATAAGTGGTTATGCCTAACATAAAGAACTAGTTATTTAAAATAGTGGTTTTTCTTTGTTACATCGTTTGGAAGGGCCTGTGGGTTTGAAGACTAATTGAATTTGCCGTCAGTGTTTTGCAGACTTTTGGGACCGCCTCCTTTAGAGTGCTCCAATAGTTTAATGGCCTTGTCGGAGTTCTCAATGTTCCTCAGCAGAGTCTCTAGTCGCCTCTTAATTTTCTTCTGATCTTCAAGAGCGCAACCGATTACTATTGACTGAAATTTTTGGTCAACTGGCCCGGGGGGCACCTCAGATGAACACGCACTGTAGAGTGACATTAAGTGACTCTTGGCATTTCCCAGGTCGTCCAGGAACTTATTGACCACCTCATCTATAATCTTCGTGGCGTGCTTCAAGGATTCCTCTTGCTGGGGACTTCGAATTGTTTCCACTGAGACCTCAACAGTGAGAGTTCGGCCCATGAGGCGGTTTGCAGTGAGGTTTAATTCCTCTCTTTCTCCTAAACATGAAACAGCAGTCAGTAGGAGACAGAAACTTAACCATGTCAGCAATGCCAAGGCGTTCATCTGTGGCTGCCTTTATTTTGTACAAGCACTTCTGTGAATTTTTTAAAGGTAAAAGCCAAAAACACTACCACGTGCAAGATTAACTGAGGAAGTCTTTGATTACAGAGCTAGGTCACAGAACACCTTTGCCCTAAGTCTTTACTCAGTAAGGGCCAGCTCCCACCCCAAGTCTGTATGTCTGCATGTTTGGTGGAGGCATTTATAGCTGAGATGAAAATAAAGTGAATTCAGAGCAAGCAGAGTTTAGCTAGGAGGATGGCTAGGGTTCGAGATGGGGCACAGTGGAGGCTCGATGCTGCACACAGGATGCGCGTGTCTGTCAGAATACATGGCACACTTTCGGCCAGGAAGTAGCAGTGATAATGTAGGACCAGCGGGCTCCCGAGAAAGCCCTGGCCTTCTCCCCTGCAGACATACTCAAGCTGGCCCTGGGTGCGAGTCTTGGCCAGCGACTCCAGGAAACTGTGGTGGCCGTGGGCTCTGGTAACATTTCAAGATATACACAAAACCGTCAACAACTTCTTTTCCAGTTCCAGAACTCCCTAATTCATCGGTCCTTTGCCGTGATGGTGAAGGGACAGACTAGGCAGGACCCATTGTGGATGGACAGCATTTGGGGTCTGGAGTTCAACCGCTTATCTCCCCAGCCCTCCAGCCCACTGTACTGGGTGATCCATTCCCCCCTGGGCTGCCACAGTCCTCAGATGACCGTGGCAGTGCGTTTTACATTAATTCCTTTGCCTGTCACACCTCAGACCATCTCGCCAAGTCTCCGCTCCCACCGTGTTCCTTTATAAGGTCCAGGACCTTGTAAAGCGCTGTGGTCCTGAGGTAGGCTGCATGGCTGTGCTGCCTGCCTGCCCTTCCGGAGCTTGCAGGCTAGGGTGGGCGTGGGGAACACAACGACACAATGACCACCGCCCGCCGACTGGCAGCTGCCGCTGCTCGCTCGCTGCTATTAATGCTCAACAGGGGTAGGTGCCCCCCCAGTCAGGCAAGCATGGCCTCACATTTATCGGAGACTCCCTGGGAGTCTAAAGCACCCCTCTGTGGAAACAGCTCTTACCGTCACTAATCTGCCTCATGTCCTGGCTGTTCTGGATGCTGTGGATCATCTCCAGAAGGATTTCTTTCTCTTGTTCAACAGCAGTAGCTGCGTCTCTCAAAGCTTCAACCCTGCATGAATTGGCACAACAAAACAGTTGTTACAGCAACAGTGTCCTTCCTATTAATTTCCCTCAGCTGCCATCTAGATCAGCCCAAGTTTAAATGACCCGAAGAAAGCTTTGCAAAAATGCATTACTGCAAAAATGCATTACTGCAAAAATGCATTGCTGGGCATGGTGGCGCACGCCTTTAATCCCAGCACTCAGGAGGCAGAAGCAGGTGAATCTCTGAGTTTTGGGGCCAGCCTGGTCTACTGATCAAGTTCCAGGACAGCCAGAGCTATACAGAGAAACACTGTCTTAGGAAAAAACAAAAAAAGCATTCCTTTAAAAAAAAATTCTAACTGGTGTGTTTGTCTTGTTTTCTGAGACAGGATTTCAAAGGCAGGCCTAGAACTTGCAGCAATCCTCCTGTCTCAGTGGTGGGGCAGCAAGCACGGCCACTCCCTCTGGCTCCTCAGCTTGCTGAGCTTCTGTTTCCTTGCCCGGGGCAACCAGAGACCATGTTCATCTGTGTGGACTTGTTCTTTTAACATCTGTATTTGTATATGTGCATTTTTTTTAAAGATTTATTTATTTATTATGTATACAGTGTTCTGTCTGCACATATCCCTGCAGGCCAGAAGAGGGCACCAGATCTTATTACAGATGGTTGTGAGCCACCATGTGGGTGCTGGGAATTGAACTCAGGACCTTTTGGAAGAGCAAGCAGTGCTCTTAACCTCTGAGCCATCTCTCCAGCCCTGTATATGTGCATTTTCAATGTATATCCGCTTCTCTTTTTCCACCTCACTCTTCAGGACCATCTGGTTCCTGGGTATCCGTGCTGCACTCTGTACCATGTGAAGTTCTGTCTGGTTCTCTTCACTCTGACCACTCACATTCACTTGCATGACTTGGCGTCTACACGCTCAAGACATGAACTCCTTATTGGCCACAGGCATGGAAGTCGTTTGTCCTGTGAGCTTCGTTCAGGATGGCCCTCACTGAATAGATACTGCCCCGTCCCCTGAGATAAACTTATACTAACTCTATTACCCAGGGTGCCCTGGGCTCTGTTTCAGCCTCAAGCACCTGGGATCACCTGCATGTGTTAGCCTACCGGTAAAGAGCTCCTCTTTATTAAAGATTTGTTGGGGTTGGGGATTTAGCTCAGTGGTAGAGAGCTTGCCTAGCAAGCACAAGGCCCTGGGTTCGGTCCTCAGCTCTAGAAAAAAAAGAAAAAGAAAAAAAAAAGATTTGTTGTAGGTCTGTGTGCCTGAGTGTTTTGGCTGCATGCATGTAAGTGCATTATATATGTGCCTGGTGCCCATAGAGGACAGGAGGGCTTTGAATGCCCTGGAACTGGAGCTATGGATGGTTATGAAGGGTGCTGGGGACCGACCTCAACCCTCTACCACATCATCCAGTGCTCTTCACCACTGAGCCATCTCTCCAGCCCCTTCGTTTATTTTTTTGGAGACCCGGTTTCATGACGTAACTCAGCCTGGCTTTCCTGCTTCTGACTCCTGAGCAACAGAGATCACTCTGATGCGGTTAACTTACCGTGGCTTTGCCTTGTGGCTTATCCTCTTGAAGTTTTAAGTGCTTTTCTGACATCCTGGCCATACTATTTTCCCATGTTCTATTTATAGTTTTACCTTCCCGGTATTTACTTCTTTAGTCCACCAGAATACGCTCTGGCATTAGGCAACAACCAAACAGCCTTTTTCCTTAAAATTCTTTACACCAAATCCTGTGTTACCTACATGAGATGTACCTTTGAGACGGCTCCCGTCAGTCAGTGTGCTCGCTCCCCTCCCCCACACTCCTACAGCATCATGGGCTCTGTACTGTACAATTAACTGGTAGAATAGCCTCCTCCAAAATCTTCTATAAAGGTAATGTAGATTTTTTTTGATTTATTTATTTATTATGTATACAATGTTCTGCCTGCATGTGTGCCTGCAGTCCAGAAGAGGGCATCAGATCTCATTATAGATGGTTGTGAGCCACCATGTGGTTGCTGGGAATTGAACTCAGGACCTTTGGAAGAGCAGCCAGTGCTCTTAACCTCTGAGCCATCTCTCCAGCCCCCGGTAACTTAGATATTTATATACTTTCATTCCTCCATATAAACTGTATGTTTGAAATTTTTAAACAATGCGGGGCCGGTGGTGGTGGTGGTGGTGGTGGTGGTGGTGGTGGTGGTGGTGGTGGTGGTGGTGGAACACACCTTTAATCTCAGCACTCGGGAGGCAGAGGCAGGTGGATCTCTGTGAGTTCAAGGCCAGCCTGGTCTACAGATCAAGTTCCAGGACAGGCTCCAAAGCTACACAGAAAAACCCTGTCTCGAGAAAAAAAAAAAAAAAATGGGGGAATTTGACATCCTCTTGACAATGTAGTATAATTTACATCTCTTTGTTTACTTCAGTTTTATATATTATTAGCTTTGAAATATTCTTCACAGTAACCTTATGGATTTCTGAGTGTTCCAGAAACCTTATGGATACTGTTGTAGATCATTTTAATTATGTTTCTAGACAATTATTACTGGCTTGAGACATGCTCTTTTTATGGGCTCGGCTTACAACTGGCAACCTTGCCTGTGTTAAATTTTAATGGGTGGCCCACCACTTCTACCATTTCTTCTGAGTTAACGTGCTCATACTGTCTGGGAAAAGAAAGAGTCTCTGTCTCTTTTTCATCCAGTTGTTTTTCCTTTACAGTACTGACTAATGTCTTTTGGTACTATATTAGACAGCGGAAGTGATGGGGTTTTTGCTTTTTCCCAAATTTAAAGGGAAAGGCTCTTTCAGATTTTGGTGTAAAACCCCTATCATACATACCATAGAACACTTCATCCCCTACCTCCACCAACTACACACACACACACACACACACACACACACACACACACACTTAACTTCACATACAGGCGAACAAACCCTGCCATTCAAAACCAGGGTGTTGAGTCATGAAAAGCAAGAGAAAAACATCTCACACATTTAAAAGTTATGTATTTTCAGGTCACTTTCCTATAGGTCACAGTGACTACATTTCCAGCTTTTGTAGAGAGAGAGTGATAGATGACCCCAGAATGTGAGGCCAGGGACAGGCGTTCCAACCCAGATCACTAGTGGAAGCAGCCAGAGAGGGAACAATTCCACCAACCTTTTATTAGCACACATCAACCCGTGACCTCCCATTCTCACCCCGTCCACATGTCACCCACCTGTCAAACCCCAAAATAGCACCATGAGGTGTTTCGCTTATGGCATGTCTCTAAAGAGCCAGCAGAAGCAGGCAGGAATTGTATGTACCAATCTGGCTGAAAACAAACAAGTATGGGTAGGGCTACAGGCTTCTTCGGGTACGACTGTATTATAGGAGCATCCTCAGCTGAAAAATGAGAGCCCAGTAGGTATGAAAGAGGCCCAGCTGGCACCAGTGTGAAATGTTTATAATTAGAAACTCTAATTATGACTCCAGTGTTCAGAGAAATGATGTGCAGGCTCTGAAGGACCAGATTACATTTTAACACGTGCACGTGTATTAAATATGACTGAGGGAACGGACGTTGTTCTAAAAAGGGCTCATTTACTGTAATCAGGTACAGCCGTGAGTTTGTGGAGTTAATGAAACAGATTAAAAAGGAAACATCCTAAGGGGGGGGGGGGGGGGAACCACCTTTTATCTGTGCATAAAGGAGCCATTTTGAGCTAGGGATGCAGCTTTGAGGTACAGAATGTGCTTAGATTTGTAAAAGCTTGAGTTTGATCTCCAGCAGACAGAGAGGAGGCTGATTGACTGATGTTGATTGATGGAGGCTTTTTTTGTTTTTCTGAAAGAGTTCTTTATACATAGTAGAAATTCCCAGAGCAATATACACATCTACATATATTTATCCATTTGCCATGGGCCTTTCATTTGCTGCTCTTCCTTCCTACAACCTCCTTCCTAATACTTAGGATCTTTTAAAGAATTCTGGTTCCCTTGGGCAGGAACTGTTCACCACTTCCCCCCTTCCTTTCCCTTAAGGAAATCAATACTCTCTTTGGCCCTTGTCTTCGTCAGGGTTTCTATTGCTGAGACAGACCACCGTCACCCAGAGCGACTTGGGGAGGAAGGGGTTACTTTGCTGACTCTTCCATACCACAGTCCATCAGTGACGGCAGTCTGGGTGCTCAAACAGAGCAGGAACCTGGAGGCAGGAGCTGATGCAGAGGCCACAAAATGTTGCTTACTGGCTTGCTCCCTCATGGCGGCCCAGATGTGGCACCACCCACAATGGGCTGGCTCCTTCTGCACCAATCACTAATTAAAATAAATAAATACATAAATAAAAATAAAAATAAAAAAATAAAAAAACCAAGGCAGTGTGAGTAGTCACTGTGAGCAGTGACCCCTTTGTGTGTGGAGGGTCAAACAACCCTTTCACAGAGGTTGCATAAGACCATCAGAAAACAACAGATATTTACATATTTGTTGTAGACTATTACTTTTGTTTATGTTGCATTTGCTTAACTCTGTGAAGCTATGTTACTGTGCCTGTCTAAAACACCTGATGGTCTAATAAAGAGCTGAATGGCCAACAGTGAGGCAGGAGAGAGAAATGGGCGGGGCTGGCAGGCAGAGAGAGCATATAGAGGAAGAAATCTGGGAGAAGAAAAAGGAGCCAGAGAAGGAGGAGGACTCCAGGGGCCAGCCACCCAGCCACCCAGCAAGCCACAGAATAAGAGTAAGAGAAAGGGAAAAGCCCAGAGGCAAAAGGCAGACGGGATAATTTAAGTTAAGCAAATCTGGCAAGAAAAAGGCCAAGCTAAGGCCCAGCATTCATAAGTAAGAATAAGCCTCCATGCGTGAATTTATTTGGGAGCTGCGTGGCAGGCCCCACAAAGAGTAAAAAACCAACAACACATATTCATAACAGCAGCAAAGTTACAGTTATGAAATAGCAATGAAAAGAATTTATGGTTGAGGGTCACCACACCATGAGGGACTGTATTAAAGGGTCACAGCTTAGGAAGGTCGAGAACCACTGTCCAAAAAGGCTTTCTTGCCTACAGCTTGATCTTATGGAGGCATCTTCTCAGTTGAGAGTCTCTCTTCCCAAATGACTCTAGCTTGTGTCAAGGCGACTTTAAAACTAGCCAGGACAGCACTGTTCATTTGTTTTACCCCCGCCCTCTTCCTTGTGAGACAGGGCCTCATGTATCCCAGGCTGGCTTGGAACACACTTGGACTTCTGATCCTCCCGTTTCTACCTCCCGAGTGCTGGTATTACAGACGTGTGTGATGCCTGGTTTATTTGTACTGGGGATGAAACCTAGGGCTTCTTGTGCACTAAGCCAGCATTCCTCACTACTCAGCTTGTTTAAATTATGTTTGTACTCTTCATCAGCTATTGCTGGACTTAAACTCGATTCACAGAATTCTGTCTATGTAGCTTTTCCATTAGTCTGAGGTTAGTGACTGACCCTTAAATACCGCCTGCCTCTCTCCCTTCCTATTAGTTTCTTGAGACGCTACGATAGACCGATATAAACATTCAATCTTATAATGTTAATAAAAATGTGATGATTCTTCTCTTGTCGGCAAGGGGCATATCTGCATGGACTGGGATCCAGGGAGCAGCTCCATGTCCAAATCGGGGAAAGGAAGCGCCCTCACATCACAGCTGCCTGGGCGTGGAAAGCTGCTCTACGCTAAGCAGGCTTTGGCAGGGACAGCGTAGTAAAAATTTTCATGAGCCCAGAACTGGAGCATCCTCACCTGGTCCCCAGCCCCCAGGCATCTCATGAGCCTGCAGCGGAGGTGGAAGGGCAGGCGAGGATGTCACCCGACAGCAGCTCACAAAACCCAAACTGCGGGAAGAACTGCTGCCGACTTGGCGGGAATTTCCTCACCCTCAACACCAGTGATAAGGAGACCTTGGCTGTGACCGAAGGAGGCAAAGGAGGAGCAGAGTTTAACAGGGCGACCGTCAGCGCCGGCGGAAAACTTCAGCAGAAGTCAGACGCTCCCTATGACGCCAGCACGCATGCGCTTCACGGTGGTTAGTCTAGACTTAGGGTCACCGACGCAAGCTCTTTTTAACGAAAATATGTGCTTCCACAAACAGGGAGTCGGCAAACGTTCCCTTCCGTGGGTGTATGTGAACGGAACTTTTTCCAAAACAAGTTCTCAGACTCACAGACGAGGCTCCACGGGAGACCGTGGCGTCTGCTGCAATTCCTGATACTGTCAGGAAAGACAGGTTCTCCCCGTCACCAAAATGTAGCTGCCATTCACTGTCTGAACCACTCACCAGTACGTTAGCCTAAGGCAAGGCACCTAGTCCCTCGGTTTCTTCTTCTTCTTCTTCTTTTTTTTCTCCAGACAGGATCTCACGTATCCCAGGCTGGCCCAGAACTCACTACCTAGCCCAGGATGACCTTGAACTTCCGATCCTCTCGTCTCTAGGACTGGGACCACCCTGTTGGCTTTCTGAAGCCAGGTATCAAATAGGGTTCTGAACATGCTAGACAAGCATCCTACCAACTAAGCTCCCATGGCAGCCCGGTGTTCTCACAGCTGAAAGATATAATAACATCCTCCCCCTCAAGGGTTTTAGAAGTTTCAAATTACAATGTATATGAAAAGTGTTCTTTTAAATTACAGACTATTACTCCACATTAAATATGGCGGCAACCTGTTTTGTGAGTCCTGGAACACTGGGACATCCTAACAGGAACCTTAAGCAGGAAGAAACCTGAGGGGGTGGGGCGGGGGGAACAGCGCATGTCCCTGGCCCCTGCAGTGACCACTGTTTCCTGCCTGGGGGGATTGGAAAGGAACTACTCACTATGGGATCGGTTTTGGGAAACGTATGAACAGCCAGTCTCCCAGTCCTACCTATCACTCATTCCTCCTCTGCCAATCTCTGAAAGGCAGCCCTTGGACAGCGTCTTTATCACCCACAGCTTCTAGAAGCTACTCGATACTCCGGCACACACTGGGTGTTCAATATTCACTGGATTGAATGCTAAATTGATTTTCTTCTCTTTTAGTAAAATCACATTCTTATGCCAACTGGACAGCTGAAAATGATCTATCCAGCCCTGGGACACATGGTGTTTGATCTGCACAGCCAGCCAGTCTTCCTGTGTTCAAATGTGAAGCCCACTGATCTCGACTGCAACTCGAGGCACGTGGTTTGTCTCTAAGCTTCCATTTCTCATCTGCAGAATGCAGATAATGGTAACTCCCACAGAGACAGGGGGCCTAGCATACAGACAGATGCTAGCACGCATTATTTATAAACTAGAATCAGCATTAAAAAGTAAGAAGTAAGGTATCTAGCCACGACAAATGCAGAATCCCAACAGAACTGGTCGCAAAAAAATCAAGAAAGGACAGGGTTACCTATTTAGAGAAGATGTAGTAGAAACTATTTTTTTGATGTAAGATAGTGTAGTTAGTATTATAAACTATTAGAAACAAATGGCAATCCACTAACAGTTTGTAAAACTGGGCTGAACGTTTTTAAAGCGTTTTAGACATCCCAGAGGTCAGTGCATCCTCCAGGACATAACACCGTTGGTGTGGTTTCAGTTTCCTGAGGGAAAAGTGACTCCCACTGTCAACAGAATCCGTACCACTGAATGGAAAATGTATACTGGCTACAAGCCAGTGTTTTACAGTACCAAATCCACTGCTTGACTAATATTATGTACACTAAGGAAGCTGGTAAAGGAAAATTACAGAAGCTTCATCTTTTCTCTGTCCCCCATATTTAAAAGTCTAATTTTTAATAGCGTAGTGCTCTATGGCACTGTCAAGGTGGCTTCTAAAAAGGACCCCCCATACCTTGAGCCATTAAACACACATTCATCAAACTCTCCCCCTCAGCATAACTGTTAAGAAACAGAATTTAATTGCTTATGTGCAATAATCAGAACTCCGTTCACATTAATCAGACATTAGAATGCAACACCTGTCAAACCCAAGACTTTCGGGACACCCCACCCCACCCCTCACCGCTCTCGCACTCGGGAGGCATTAATTCAGGTTTCAGGACAATGACTCAGCTTGAAGAGTAACAACTCCCTGAGCCCTTTCAAGGAAAAAAAATCTGAGCAGTTGAGAATATACTGTCAAAGTTCAGCGTCTGCTTCGTAGAGGGAAGCATTCCCAGCCCCTCCGAAGGGCCCGGGCTGGGCACACATATGGTTCAGGCTTCTCTTGTGGCTACTCAGGAAATGGTGAAAAATGTCTCGCCTTCTGGTTCTCTGCTCCTAACAGTAATAATAATGAATGCCTCACTCGTAACAAAGCTGCTTGCTGTAGTTTTCTGTGCAAACACACTTCCGTGTGTTTGGTGGACGAATGGAGGGAGATAAAGGCACACCAGACTCAGGGTTTGGGCTCCTGTTCTTTTGCTTATGCAGAACCTGGAGAAAACTAGGGAACAAAATGTTCGCAGTTCCAGAAGGCTCAGGGGTGCCTTGATAAGATTTCCACCGAACAGCACCCGCACACAATCAGAACTTGCACAGCTCTGGAGACATTAACGTCTCCACCAGACACATAAGGTCTCAAATTGTTCCGGACAACCCAGTGTTTACAGCAGTTGCTAGTACTCAGTACTTAGAAGTTTTACTACAAGGCTGATCCCGTGACAGAATCTCGGGCAGACGGAGTGTGACTCCTGCCCTTCGTGTTTCCAGGCCTGTGGCTGGCACGTCCAAGGTGTCACCAGTATCTTCTAAACGCACAACAAGATACCGACAGACTGCGGAGGACATCGCACGTGGCTAAGAGAAGGAAGGACGGTATCCAACTTCGGCACCCCCACCCACCCACCCCCCTCCACGGCCCCTCGTGGGTCTGATTCCCGCCGGCCGCGGGAGGGAGGGGGCAGTCTGGCATTTTCCTTACTCTCGTGTTACTATGAAGTGGTTTGGGGCAAAGAAACTTACTACAATGGGAAGGTGGGGAGAGAGAGAGGGAGAGGGACCCACACTACACTGCTACCTCCCTCCAGAGAGCATCACTGGAAACGTGAAAGTGAAAGGCAGCGGGGACCACGCAGAAGGTGCTGGAAGTTGGGCAAGGCCCGCGCTCGCCGGGGGAGGGGAGCCTACCCGAAGCGCGCCCCCGCGCCGCCCGCCCGCCCGCGCCGCCCGCCCGCCCTCACCTGAGCTCCAGCTGGTCCAGGCTCTCCAGCAGGCGGCTGGAGCGGTCGGCCATGGACGAGGAGCGGCAGAAGCGGCCCTCGTGGGCCTTGGCGCTGATCTTCGCCTGGGCCATGAGCTCCGGGGGTCCGCGGCGTCGGCGGGCAGCAGCGGCGCGGGCCGCACGTCGCCGTCACCGCGGGCGCCGCTGACGCGGACGGCGCCGCCCCCGAGGCCGCGCGGCCAAACAAGGGCAGGCGCGGGGCGGGCGCAGCCGCCGGCCCCGCGGGATGGGGCGGGGGGGTGGGGGGGGACCCTGCCCCGGAGCCCGGCGCCGGTCGCCAGCCTCCCACCCGGGCGGGCTGCACGATGGCTCCTGCCGCGTCTCCCAGCACCCACAGTTCACGGCAAGGGCAAAACCGTGCAGCCCCGTGGCGTGGGGAGCGAAGGTCCCCTTGTGGAGCAGAAGACAATTGTGTGTGCCCCAGGGGCAGTCTCTGCTTGCCCGACCTGTCCGGTTACCAGGCAGGCTCCTAAGAGAACCGGGAGAGCCGGGACAGCACCGTGCTCCAAATAAGGAGACGCCGAGTGCGTTTGTACTGTCTCGCCTTTCTAATGAGAGGATTGTTACTTTCACACTCAACTTATTTAAATCCTCTGTGAATAACAGTCACTAGGCGCCCGTGTCAGAAGCTGTAAATGTCAGTAAGAGATGGATGGAGTAGGGCTGAAACAGAAAGCCGTGTCTAGTTAAAGTTGCGTTTTGCCGTCTCAATGCACAGAGCACGGAAAAAGGGAAACTTGAAGTTGATTTACAACCTTGAATCAGAACTCAGAGCCTTTCCATGACTCAACAGAGTCAAGCCCCTTAAGTAAGGCTGACTCCCAGGTCCCCAGCCGCCACCCCACCCCGCGCCCCAGCTCATTTTAAACACTAATGAACAGCGAATTATCTGGCTTCACTAAACACTGTCATTTCACGACACGAACGTGAAATCGGAACGTTTTGTGAATGTCTTGAAAATCTATGCTTGCGCAGGTCTCAGGTATAATGCCAGCTCCTCTGGACGCTGACAAAGCAGCGTCTCTTGGGGCCAGAGTGAGTTCAAGGCTAAGCTGGGTAGCTTTGGCAAGAGCCCAAGGTCTCAAGAAATAAAAGGTGTTGCAGACATGGCCCAGTGATACAGCATCTGTCTCTGTCGACGTTAGCAACTAACTAAGGCAGAGAGGTAATGGTTTGAATGCAATGTCTCTCACGCTGTCTGGCATTTGAACACTTGGTCCTCAGTCGTCGGTGGCTGTTTGGGGAGGATTATGTGTGGCCTTGCTGGAGGAAGTATGTCACTGGGGACAGGTTGCAAAAGACTAGCTATGCCCACCCAGTGTCTCTCTGCTTCCTGCTTGGGTTTGAGATGAGTGTTTCAGAATCTGTCTTTGCAGCCATCATAGACTCTGACCCTCTGTAACTGTGCCCAATTCAATGATTTCTTTTATCAACTGCCTTAGTGGTGGAGTTTTATCACAGAAAAGGAACTAAGGGATATAGCAGACATCTTCAAAGCATTCTATTTTTGTCACAAGTTGAGCATGCAGAGGCATTTTCAGACTATAATCTGTGTGTATGCTCCTGTCTGAAGATGTCTACTCTCTTGTGATTTGTGACCTTAAACTGAGCATGCTTTCGAATGGGCAGGCTCCCATATGAATATGTATAGGCTCCCTGAATAAAATCCTCTGTGCTTTTTGAATTTGTGAAGAGCTTTGCTCTGGTAACGCTCCCATGCTCTTCCTGCTGGGTACAGGTTGCAAATCTTTGTACTTTACATCCTGGCTGGCTTATTTTGGTTTCACAACTAGCAGGGCATTTTGTCACAAGTCTGGTAATCTTCAAGTTCCCAGACTAGAATCACCCTGGACTCTTTCACTCTCATATCCTAGACTGAACCCACTAGTAAGTCCCAATTCTACCTTCAGAATATATCTTGATTCCTCCAATCCCACCATCACCTGGCCAGTCTTCCCTGGGTGACTTCGGAATCCCATCTGTCCCCCCAGCATCTATCCTGCCTCTCCTGTGAATCCTCAATACAGTAGACCATACCACACACTCTCAGAAACCTCCAGTGGCTCACCACAGAGTAAACAAGAAAAGCACCATTTCTCTCAAGTCTGTGTAATTTTTGCAAGCTCCTATATCACACCACAAGTCAGGGGCCACCTTGTACGTTTTTTGCATGGCTCATTCCTTCGCCTTCTTTGAGTCTTTGCTTAACTTCACTCACCAGTGCAATTTTTCCTGAACATTGTTGAAAATATCAAGCCTGGCCGGGTGGTGGTAGTGCACGCCTTTAATCGCAGCACTGGGGAGGCAGAGGCAGGCGGATCTCTGTGAGTTCGAGGCCAGCCTGGGCTACAGAGTGAGTTTCAGGACAGGCACCAAAACTACACAGAGAAACACTGTCTTGAAAAACCAAAAAGAAAAGAAAAAAAGAAAAAAATCAAGCCTGAGCTGAGCACAATGGGTGCTTATCTGTAATCCTAGCAGGCAGAAGGCAGAGGCAGTAGGACCCGGCATTGGAGGGTAACCCAGGCTACACAGCAGGTGTAATTCTAGGGCTGGAGACAGCCGAGTGGTGGAGTGTTTGCCTAGCCTGTGTGCTGCCCCAGGTTTGATGATCCCCAGTACTGCAACCCAGTCTGAATCCTGCACCATTATGCTTCTCCCTTCTCTATTTACCACATCATCCCTTAGAGATATGGTTTTATCTGTCTGTGTATTTGTTATCCAATACTATCCATGCTGCCCTCTCTCCATGTCTGAGCAGCAGAGGGACAGAAGCTCTCAGGATCACTGTCACATCTCACGTACTTCAAGCAGTTGCTGTCACTTGGTAGATACACAGTAGTTTGTGAACAAATGAATTAATGATGAAATGAAAAAACTGTTATATTAGAAATAAACTTGGGATAACCTACAACTTTATTATTAATGACTCTTGTTTAAATTCAAATCATGAAGCAGTTTTGTTTTAAAATCACTTGGTGAGCGATGTCAACACATTAAAGAACACTGTTACCTCTTCATAAGAGCCTCAGTGAAATGCCTTTCTTGTCAAACCAAAAGGTACAGCTGCTGTCTATTACAGCCCATGACTGCTGTGCATGCTGTGGGAGCCTTAGGCAGGCTGGACAAACACTGAACCACACACTCAACACAAAACTCCCTAATAGACTATCAGGACACACCATGCTTGGCCGTGGACTTTCTGAAAGTTTCTTCTTGCTCTACATCTGCTTAGCTACTTTCAAGGTCACACTTCTTGCTGTTTAGCAAACTCCTGCAAATGTGTTGAAGGTCAACCATGAGGCCTGCCTTTTGTAGCCTTGCTTGACACTTTTAACATAAAATGTCAAAGCAGCCTGAGCTGCAGCGTGACATCATCTTAAAAACAGAAGAAAAATAAAGCACAGTCTGGTTGATTTTTGCAATATAAACGACAAATTCTCAAGCTATAATAGCTACTTAAAAAAATCTAAGTAGGGCTAGGCATGGTGGCAAACCCCTGAAGCCCACAACTCTCAAAGCAGAAGAGAGTGATAGCTAGAGGCCATTCTTGGTGCTTACTAGCTCCTCCAGGATAGCTTTGAGGAACATGGTAAGACATTCTGCAAAAACCAGAACACTGTAGGCAGAGAGGAGAAGCATTGCTTTTAAAGCAGTCCCTGGGATTGAAGCTCTGCCCTCATGTACCCAAGGACCAAGAAACATACTCAGCTCAAAAAGTGACACTAAAAAAAAAATGATTTCTAGTATGCATTGAAAATACTAGAGACTCTATTTCATACTAAACGATCCAGTATCGCAGAGAATTCAAGTCCCATCTTTCTGTCTGAATCAAAAAACAACAACAACAACAAAATACTTAGAAATTTGTGTTTAGTCTTTTGAGGCAGGTTCTCACTATAGGGTGGTCCTTCTGCCTCAGACTTCTGAGTGCTGGAATCACAGGCATGGCCAGCTAGAGAAATTTGTTTGTTTTTTTCAAGACAGGGTCTCACTATGCGGTCCTGGAACTCACTGTGTAGACGAGATTGGCCTTGAAAGTGCTGGGATTAAAAGCATGTGCCACTATGCCCAGCAAGAGAAATATTTGTAGTATATGTGCTACCGAAGTGAGCACAAGAGAAATATTTTTAATATTGACAAATTATGACTCAAAAATTTTATATGACATTTCTGTCCAAATAACATGAAATATACCTATCAAGAGAAGAGGAGATTCTTATTCTTCCACTGATACAGGTTTTTACTCACAATGGAGCTTCCATACTTAAGAACTAAATATGTCATACCAGATGTAACCCAATGAATAACTAAACTGAAGAGAGTCAACATGATATAGAAATGTATTATATAGAAATGACAGGATAAAAGGGTAGATTATTGAATCTACTCTGAAAGAAAGAGATAGATGTGACAAAAGATAGAATATGGAATCTACTCTGGAAAAAAGGATATAGATATAAGATAAAAAGTAGATTATGGAATCTACTCTGAAAAGAAAAAAGGGAGAATACAGCTATGATAAGGTAAAAAGGCAGATGATTGAATCCACTTTTAAAAAGCAACTATTAATTTTAAATATTTTACATTGGATTGGATTTTTGTAATTATATACAAATTTTGTATATTGATACAAATTTGAGATTGATTTTGTTAGAACATTCTGTACATACATTTCTAATCTTGTTTAAGGGATTGTACCTATACAGTTCATTTAACAGTCTTTGAAAGTTATTATTACCAATTAGGATACAAAGAAATGAAAGGTAGTAGTTATTACAATCGAACTTGCAGTCACACTAGGTATGTTTTCAAGGTCAAACAAATATATTTTAGACAGACAGGTCATCTTCAAACACTTCAGAGATCTACAGAATATGGCATTTAAGATGTTTTAATAAGTCTTTTTTTTTTTTTTTTTTTTAATGACAATGAGACATGTCTGCTCCTGGCAGCACCAATCTACTTCTGAGAAGATGATGGGCATTGAAGAAACACCTTATGGAATTTACTTTCTTTGTGGCAAGTTAGCCACTGGGCAGGAAAATGCCCTTGCCTCGACTGCTGACAGTATGCTGTCCAAATGGACAAGCAGGACACAAAAGAAAGGACTGTCGAACCTTGCCAAGACAAGGTAGAAAGGCCCTTC